GCTGCATTTTCAAAGACAAACAGCTGTCAGAAGTTGAAACATGTACAAATGAGTTCCTTCACACTGAATGCCTTATCACCATCAGCTCACCTGCAGGATGAACACAAAGTAGCCGCTGACGCTCTGCTCGGCGATGACATCCTCCATGGTGCGAAGCGTGGTGCCCAGGTAGGAGTTGAGAAGCTGAGTGGGCAACAGACCCACAGAAGAGGCCACCAGGTAGTTTGGCAAGGACACGTCTGTGATCTTAAAAATAGAGAAACAGCTTACAAACTTTAAAATAATGAAAAGATTCAGGTACAATGGAAAAAAAATATTATACTACTAAACTAAACATATTTCATTCAACAAGCTAAAATTAATCCTTTATTATGGATTCATATTTAGAATTAGTTTGCTGGTTCAATAAGTTTCCTGCATCATAGATTCATCTGAATGAAATTATGAGTGTCCTTGTGCAAACCAAGTCCTCGCACGTCCCTTGTTGAATCTATTTAACTCTCAACAATGTGAAGTAACCAATTACAAACAGTATTTAAGAATTTAACTTGCTATTTAAAGACCTAAAACTAAATGACAAATCTGTTTTGTACGTTTCCAATTGCGACTGATAAGGTAGAGGAGCCAAGGGTCAAAAGATCTGAAGTTTGACAAAGGCTATACGAACCATATATCAGTTCTGAGAGTGAGCTCTTTCTCGACCTTAAACAGTAGTTTAACTGAACAAAAGTTCTAACTTGAGGTCCATTTACTCGGTTTTAAGTATTAATTCTAAGAAATATGCTTGTAAAATTATCAAATCATTGCATTTTCCAGCAGTGGTGGAAAGAAACTAGCTCAAGTACATAAGTACAATTTTGAGGTACTTGTATTTAACTTCAGTATTTCCACTGTCTACTACTTTAAACTACCACAATTTCTGAAAGACAAAAAAAATATCACTATCTTGTGTAATTACCCAGAAGTACAACATGCCATCACACGTCCAGCTCATTTTGAATTTCATATCTCATTACAACCACCTAAATATAAACAAGTGTCCGCGCTGCTGTCACCCTTGATCCCTTGATTAAGTGATGACATAAGCCGATGTGTGTCTGTGCTGGGTGTGCGAGGATGTGACCTTGGCACTGTGTGCACTGTGACTACATTGTGGCTGATAGCGGTGTGTCAGGGGCCATGGCGAGTTGCTGCAAGAGACTGCCTGAGCCAAAATGTTATCAGGGCTGGAAAACATTTACGCAAGATCAAGCCCAAGTGTCCCCACGAAGTGACAGATCCAAAATCCTCTCCTGTTCTCACACTACTCGCTGATAAGAGCCTGGCTTACACTTCATAGGACGTTACTGAAACCTGGTTAATCAAGATAATGTTGTCAAGCTGCATTTCCTCAGCATGTTTAGCTGAGAATGCTTTCTTCAATACAATCATGTAACAGGCCTTTCTCCTTGAAAGATTAGCACGGATGTGTCCACACCATGTGTCAACACAGTCCAAACGCCCTCAGCTGATCGCTGAGACGTGTCATGTGAGCCTGTGAGAGCTGCAGAAGACAAGGAATGCGCTCTCTTTCTCTTAGCCATCATTCCTGAGTTGTGAAGCACATGTCCTCTGGAGTCTCTTCCCATCCAGGCAACTAGCGTATGCAGCTGTCTTGTATACGACCAGGGCTAGTCGTTGGTATTTTTATAACCGGGCAGAGAATTCCCACTAAACCTCCTACTCACTTCTGCAAGCCTGTGTATCAAGATAATCTGCAAATTCAAGTGAAAAAACACCCCATCCTAGGCTTGACCTGATTTAGCAGCAGCAATGCAGGTCTGAGTTTGAGCTCGTAAACAAAGCAGGGAGTAGGGTATCTTGACTGCATAGTAAATTTCAGAATTGTGTCTGTGATGCTGCATCTCTTTTCTTATCTGGACACACGCATGACTTACCCTTTGTAACAAAAGGGTGAAGCACAGGGCGTAATTACAGGCTGCACAAACATGCTTGCCTAGATAGATAGCGTCCTATAAATCACAGCCCCTCATGACAGCAGTGGGACGGAGACAGGCCAGTGAGCAGTTTTAAAGGTTATAATGCTGTAATAAAATACACGCGGAGACCTGAATATGGCCACTTCTTCTGCAAAGGGTTCGCAAACATTTTTCCTGAGCTGTCCCATTGTTTTGCTAACTGCTGCAGTCTGTGTGTCGTTTTAGGTTACCCACTATAATGTAGCACCATCCACTTCAGCAGAAAGAAGCAGGGGGCACAGTGAAATGTAGTCTCATCCAGAGAAAGTGCTTACCAAGGGCAGAGCAGACAACACATAATTCCACCAATGAGCCAGTACGAGCCAATAAGTACCCACCCACGGTTAGTTTCACCTTTTATTGTTGCGAATCAGATCATAAAGATACAATATCAGCTAGGCTTAATAATGAGCCTCCTGGTAACATGAATTACAAGGTGCACGGTGAGAGGCTGAGCTGGGTTTGAAGACCCTCTGGGCCAGGAAGTAAAAATGTAGCAGAGGACTCAGGCGAACTGAGGGATTCAGCTTATTAGCCTGTTTCTGGCAGGGCTGGTTTAACTCCCTGGTGAAGGCTGCACACTAACATTCACTTCACCAAGTGGGAAAAAAAAAGTTTCACATTGAGGTTTGCGTGTGAGGAGTTTGACAGCCTGATTTTTCTCCAGTTCTCCAGAATGATGGTTTCGCTGTTACATTTCCATTATCGGTTATTTTTGGCCACTTGGGAGCAGCGGAAACAAGTGAACACAACATTAACATAGCACCAGCTTTGAAATTGTCAGCAAACCTGTTAGCAAACAGTTGTTAACATACCAGCAGTTCCAGAGAAACATAATGCATTTCTTTCTTTCGTGTCTCTGTCCACCAAATGTAAGTCTCTTTCAGCTAAGTTTTTGGTCTCTCCCAACCCTCCAGGGAAATACTTGGCTGCTCCACTATGTTACCAGATAGGCGCTACCTAGTCTATCTGCAGCTGAGCTGGAAGTGTACAGTGGGTTTTTAAGTGGGGTTTTTGACTGTAAACAACCACTTACTGTGGTTGAAAATGACGCTATTAGAGTGCTAAGAGTTAACCAAAACAGTAAACTGGCAGTCTTGAGAGCTAAACATTGAGCTGTAGCTCTCTATAAATCTCTGTAAAGCTGAGGGGAGCTACAGATTCAGGTAATAATTCTCAGTAGGTTCATCACTACCCACAACCCCTTTCGCGTTGTCACATTGGTTTCACGTTGTCATTTGTTACATTTTACCAAAATATCAATGGTATGTTCTTTTAAAAAATGCTAGTTTCAATTTAGAGTAAGGCAGTAGTCAAAATCATGCTTTAAAAAGAAAAAGAAAAAGATTTAAATTTGACGTAAGATTTCAAAACAACATAAGTCATCCAACACATCTCGAAAGAGGCCAAACCTTCAAACAAAATACTGTTGCATTAGTTTCACTATAAATCTGTAAACCTCAAATACGTCAAAGGGAACAATCTCAAATGTCATTACAATGAGTCAAGTACAGACAGGCTGCATTTTCAAAGACAAACAGCTGTCATAAGTTGAAACTAACCAACAGAAATATGACAAATGCGAACTGGCATAATATGACCCACTTTGTTGTAGCAGTTGTGCTTGAGCTGCATGAAAGCTGATGTCCTTTCTTATAAAGTGTTTGCTTGCTTGTAGATAAAGACCCAGAGCAAACTCAAGCTTTTACTATTTGGAGGTATCAA